TGCATGTGGGAGACTCCCCAAACATATGGAAGAAGCGCCATCCTGTGGGGAAGTGCCATCCATCTGGTCAGATGAGACTAAAATTGAGCTTTTTGGCCATCAAGGAAAACGCTATATCTGGTGCAAACCCAACACCTCTCATCACCCCGAGAACACCATCCCCACAGTGAAGCATGGTGGTGGCAGTATCATGCTGTGGGGATGTTTTTCATCATCAGAGACTGGGAAACAGGTCAGAATTGAAGGAATGATGGATGGCGCTAAATTCAGGGAAATTCTTGAGGGAAACCAGTTTCAGTCTTCCAGAGATTTGAGACTGGGATGGAGGTTCACCTTCCAGCAGGACAATGACCCTAAGCATACTGCTAAAGCAACACTCGAGTGGTTTAAGGGGAAACATTTAAATGTCTTTGAATGGCCTAGTCAAAGCCCAGACCTCAATCCAATTGAGAATATGTGTTATGAAGCTTAAAGATTGCTGTACACCAGCGGAACCCATCCAACGTGAAGGAGCTGTAGCAGTTTTGCTTTGAAGAATGGGCAAAAATCGCAGTGGCTAGATGTGCCAAGCTTATAGAGACATACCCCAAGAGAGTTGCAGCTGTAATTGCTGCAAAAGGTGGCTCTACAAATAATTATTTTTGGGGGGGGGGTTAATAGTAATTCACGCTCAAGTTTTCTGTTTTTTTGTCTTATTTCTTGTTTGTTTCACAAGTAAAAATATTTTTCATCTTCAAAGTGGTAGGCATGTTGTATAAATCAAATGATACAAGGCAACAAAATAGGAAAAATGCCAAGGGAGGTGAATACTTTCGCAAGCCACTGTACATCTGTCAGCTGGCAAGGGAGGAAAATATCCACACACACAAAAAATAAATCCAATGCGTCAATGTTTGTATGGTACATTTCTCAGAGACAAATAATAAATACAGGCCAACTGTAATGCTGCTTTTTCATAGCTCTGTGTTTTTAAATGCTGGTGCTCGATTTCACTGTAGTTTTTCCTTCAGGGGCTATAAGAAGCAATGTTTAATCAACTTTATTTTGTTTCTCACAGGGAGAATGAAAGATTCGGTCTTCACAAATAATAGAAAACATTTTGAGAGCCTATACTGTTGTCGGGAGGGTTGGTTTATTGGTAGCCGACTTTCTTCTCCCATTGCTCAGTGTAAGATACAGCTGGCTCTGATCCCTATTAAATGCAAACCAAAACCTGCCAATAAAAATAACAAAATTGCGATATGCCTAAATTAATTCAGAGCTGGATTTAGGTCATTTTCTTGGTCAATCAAAAGGATCCCATTGTCACTCAGCTCTTTGAATTGAGCAACTGTTGATGTGTATAGTCAACGAAGCATATATTTATATGCAGGGTCTTGACAAAGGCTCAGGGCATAGAAGGGAAATCGCCAGAAAAAGGCATTCTCACATGAAAGCCCATCTCTGGTGCAGGCAGTGACTAAGAATACAAATAAGCATTGCACTGGAGTGAGATGTCATTCACAAACTGTTAAAGCAAAAACAGAGAACATTCAGTAGAAGTAAAAGGAAACTGAGGACACTGAACTTTAAAGAACAACATGAACTCATGAACTCACTGTATTACATACCTGGAACGTTGGATTTGACTCCAGAAACGTCAAATGACTCTGAGTCGGTCATAGGGTCCGGATGTTGGAGCATCCTCAAGGGCAGTATTATAAGTAGCAGGAGGCTGCAGGATCAGGTGCATATTAGTGTCCAGTTTATTAACAATGAAAAGGTGATCCCAGGTGAAGTGTTATTTACATAATGATTTGCATAAATATTATTTACGTTATTTACATAATACAGGAAGGTGTTCAAAACTCTGGGACTGTGTTGAGATTTCTATCACCTGACACATGTGCAAAACCATGTAAACACTTGAATGAACTCGGCCAGTATGCATGCGTCAAGTGCATGTGTTTACATTGTGTGTAAAACTGAGAGCCACGCAGAGACCGACTTTTTGAAGCCAGTTGAATAATACTTTCCTTTGGATATTTTGTCCAAAATGTCCAATGGCATAAGGACAAACAAAGCGCACAACCAGTAGAGTAAATTAAAATACATTTTATTTGGGGCGCTAGTGAGCAAGCCGTGGATTATGTCACGTTTTTACGAGCTCCTGCTGAAATGGCATTTATTTAATATTTTCTTTGCACTTTTACCCCAAAAGAACCATGAAACAGCCTTTGAATTACTTTCTTTACTTTGCACAACTCTTGTTTTTGTTTTGATGTGTAATTAAGTGATAATGCCTGAGAAGCCAGTGTTTGGAGGATATATTGGCATGGGTGTTATATCCTCCAAACACCAGCTTCGAGGGCATTATCACTTTTATACATTCAAAACTTTATTTTGGTGAATTTATACTATTTCATCCTTCCACAAGATATAGTCCCGACACAAATCTAGGGTTGCTACCCAAGCCGGCTGGTCGTTCGTTCTATTGGTTCGGTTGCCAGAGACACAACCCAGTCGTTCAGTCTTTTTGTTCTGTATCTATGGACGCGACCCAGTTGTTCGTTGTAAATGTTCCATTGCCATACAGGCTGGCAACGTTCTTATCCCTTGCTTGCTAGCTAGCCAACTACGGCTAACTTAGAGTCATGTCCAGTGGCGACCCTTCATTCAGGGCCCCACCTTTTTAGCCTGTTTTGTATGTTATTTAGGCATTAATACGTGTCACATATCAGTTTGCAAACAATGTAAAAAAATAAGAAAAAAATCATTGAGTTAATAAAGCTGTATACAAACTTGGTCTCTTTTTTGCTTTCTTGAGTAAAGCAGATCCAAAATGCAGATGTTTCAGCCTAGCTCAGGGCTTTCTCTGGTGGTGGGGCAGCCAGCGGAAAATACGGAGCGTAGGGGTTGGTAATGTTCTCTAGTTGTGCTGTGATTGGCTTAGTGTTCTGTCACTCATGGGGACACTAAGTCACCGCCAAATCTAAGGGTAGAGCTCGAAAATTAAAGCCCCTTGGGTGCTGCCATAGAGTTACATTAGAAGTGCCCATCCAAGAAGGCTCAAGGTCATTGGCCACATATAAAATGACGTAAAATCACGTCATATCTACAGTAGCTTTGATTGGACTGATCATGTCAACATCATCATTTCAAAATCTTAGCTAGCAAGCTAGCAGTCATCATGTTGAATCAAGTCAATAATCTACTGGCAAATCCTTTTTAATCCTATAGATCAAACGTATCGGTGCTCATTGGCCATTGGACACCAGGGACACCAGTAGCTATAGAGCAAACCTTTGCACCGATGCCCACTCACTGACATAATCTATCTCGCTTCTAAACCAGCATTGGCCAGTTTCTGTACTTTCGTGGTCCTGATGCTGTGATTTATGTATGTACAGTGGGGAAAAAAAGTATTTAGTCAGCCACCAATTGTGCAAGTTCTCCCACTTGAAAAGATGAGAGAGGCCTGTAATTTTCATCATAGGTACAAGTCAACTATGACAGACAAATTGAGAAAAAAATTCCAGAAAATCACATTGTAGGATTTTTTATGAATTTATTTGCAAATTAGGGTAGAAAATAAGTATTTGGTCACCTACAAACAAGCAAGATTTCTGGCTCTCACAGACCTGTAACTTCTTCTTTAAGAGGCTCCTCTGTCCTCCACTCGTTACCTGTATTAATGGCACCTGTTTGAACTTGTTATCAGTATAAAATACACCTGTCCACAACCTCAAACAGTCACACTCCAAACTCCACTATGGCCAAGACCAAAGAGCTGTCAAAGGACACCAGAAACAAAATTGTAGACCTGCACCAGGCTGGGAAGAGTGAATCTGCAATAGGTAAGCAGTTTGGTTTGAAGAAATCAACTGTGGGAGCAATTGTTAGGAAATGGAAGACATACAAGACCACTGATAATCTCCCTTGATCTGGGGCTCCACACAAGATCTCACCCCATCGGGTCAAAATGATCACAAGAACGGTGAGCAAAAATCCCAGAACCACACGGGGGGACCTAGTGAATGACCTGCAGAGAGCTGGGACCAAAGTAACAAAGCCTACCATCAGTAACACACTACGCCGCCAGGGACACAAATCCTGCAGTGCCAGACGTGTCCCCCTGCTTAAGCCAGTACATGTCCAGGCCCGTCTGAAGTTTGCTAGAGTGCATTTGGATGATCCAGAAGAGGATTGGGAGAATGTCATATGGTCAGATGAAACCAGGACAAAGAATGCTGAGTTGCATCCAAAGAACACCATACCTACTGTGAAGCATGGGGGTGGAAACATCATGCTTTGGGGCTGTTTTTCTGCCAAGGGACCAGGACGACTGATCCGTGTAAAGGAAAGAATGAATGGGGCCATGTATCGTGAGATTTTGAGTGAAAACCTCCTTCCATCAGCAAGGGCATTGAAGGTGAAACGTGGCTGGGTCTTTCAGCATGACAATGATCCCAAACACACCGCCCGGGAAACGAAGGAGTGGCTTCATAAGAAGCATTTCAAGGTCCTGGAGTGGCCTAGCCAGTCTCCAGATCTCAACCCCATAGAAAATCTTTGGAGGGAGTTGAAAGTCCGTGTTGCCCAGCGACAGCCCCAAAACATCACTGCTCTAGAGGAGATCTGCATGGAGGAATGGGCCAAAATACCAGCAACAGTGTGTGAAAACCTTGTGAAGACTTACAGAAAAAGTTTGACTTGTGTCATTGCCAACAAAGGGTATATAACAAAGTATTGAGAAACTTTTGTTATTGACCAAATTCTTATTTTCCACCATAATTTGCAAAAAAAATCATAAAAAATCCTACAATGTGATTTTCTGGATTTTTTTTCTCATTTTGTCTGTCATAGTTGACGTGTACCTATGATGAACATTACAGGCCTCTCCCATCTTTTTAAGTGGGAGAACTTGCACAATTGGTGGCTGACTAAATACTTTTTTTCCCCACTGTAGTTGTTTCCGCTGCCCTGCAGATCTTGGGTAGCAGTGCTCCCAGATAGTTCACGGCCATCGTCTCTGACGTGTACCAGTTCAAGTCCCCGATACACTCTCCTCTCCTTGGGTGAAGATAAAAGACAAGGGCGTTCTCTGGGCATTTCGATAGATATTTTTCCAGTGATGCCATCCGGCATAGTGGGTTCCCTGGCTGCTCGAACATGAATCTCCTCTTGGACTCCCTGCCCCTCTTCCTTGGGTCCAGATGATTCTTTGTGGCCTTGTTATATGCGAGTGTTGCGTATCTGAGAGAGAGAATGTGTTGTTATCATATTGTTTTCCAGTAGCCTAATTACAAGTGCAACTTAGAAATAACACAAACCGTCTATGAACAACATACCTTAGACCAGGGCTGCCCAAACCTCTTCCTGGAGATCTACCATCGTGTGGGTTTTCAGTCCAACCCTAATTTAACACACCAGACTGAAAACCTACAGGACAGTAGACCTCCAGGAAGAGGTAGTGCAGCCCTGCCTTAGACCGTTCTCGTCTGTTTTTACGAGAAATTAGTTGGGCTTTAGTTGTCTGTTCCCCTCTTTTCTTCTTAGTCCCAGATGTAACTGGAGCTCGAACCACACATTCTGGACCAGACCCCTTCGTGTACCGGGATTCAGAGCCTGGAAGTTTTGGAGCTGGGCCATGTCCTTATTGGTGATGGGAGGGTAGCTGGTTGTACAGCTCCCCCTTCCCATTTCGTACATTTCCATAAAACTTTCGGAGAAGGATTTCAAACTCTTCCTTAGTGACAGATTTGAAGTCAACAACTTTTTTATTCTCTACTAACCAGCCCCCGAAGCACCGCACAGGCCAGTTTGTATACTTAACTGTGTTTTCTTTGTTGCTGCTTTTCTCTAAATCATTCAATGCAGTATCCCCCAAATCTGCATGCCTGGGTATTATTGCCATCTCTTTCTCCCACTCATCTATAGTCATGCCACCGAAAATATGAAAATAAATGTTCCACTCATCCGTTTTAGTTTTCGCAACAAAGTATCAATTTGGCCAGTCAACTGAAAAAAAGTTTTGTATGTTGCTATGACAAGCAGCTCAATTTGTTGTCTGTCTCGTTCGGACACTTTATATAGGACGGTGGAGATCGCAATTCAATAATGTAGTGGAGATCAAGTTTATAAATTGCCTGGCTGGGCTGATGAGACAGTGAATTGCGCAGTGAGATGGAACAGAGTAAATAGACATTTCATCGTCATAGCCGGTGGTAACTTGTGGAATAGACACCGGTTGGAATTCGGTTTTAACAAATCAGCATTCAGGATTAGACCCACCCGTTGTATAAATGGGACATAACCTGCGAAAGTGCAAGTAGAGCGGAAGCACTGACAAAAGTGAGGGCACAAGGCCCAAGACGGTGAGCTCGAGTTCTTTATGCAGCTCCTCCCCTCGTGATAAAATGGACACAGCGGATTTAAAGGTAGAGATTCTTACTTCCCTCAGAGCTCTAGGAGGTACTCAGTGAGGACTTCAACTTTATTAAAATTAAGTTACAAGCTGTCAAGAATGAACTTGCAAAGCATAAGGCAACGATTTGCACTGAAATTGATTAAAAAAAAACTGTCTCCGACATGGAACAAGGCCTGTCAACATGTTCGGATGACGTCACTTCGCTACAAACCACGGTAGAGAAGCTCGAAACTGATGTAGCTAGCCTTATAGATCATTACGTAAATCTGGAAAGCCGTATGAGGAGATCCAATATCAAGATTATGGGAGTCGCGGAAGAGCCGGTCTCGAGTTTTACCACATCAGTTTCCAAGTTACTGAAGGAGGCCCTCAAATTTGATAAAAAATACCGCTCACATTGGAGTCTGCAAGCAAGAAAACCAGGCGGAAAACCTTGCGTTATTGTGGCTAAACTACGCTACTACCAGGACTGTGTGAGTTTGGCCCTCTTCGATTCAACGGAACGCCCATCTCTATCTTTGCAACTATGCCCCCAGTGCTGCTCGTAACCGAGCAGATTTTTTACGGCGTGAAGAGCCTGCTCTGGTTCCAAATGGCAATGAGAAATTGTTCCAAAACCCAGAAAAGGCGTTGGCTTTTATAAAAGCAAACATTCTACCGAGGTCGGATGAAGCAAATGGCTGAATGTACATTTATCTGCCGATTGGGCAAATGGACAAATGTGTCTAGCAGACCCGGTCTCTCTGGTTTAGATATACCAGTAACGTTGGTTGATGTTGTACTAGATAATGCATTAATTCTGGTGAGTAAATTCATGTTTCAGGTGAGTGAATTCTCCCTTTGTTTCTTTATCATGAAGCTGCTCATCCCTTTTGTTGATGGTACACTTATCCAGGGTATATAAACCACAGTTCTATTAGCTACAGCATGTCCTTTCTTTAAATATGATACACTGAGTCAAGTGCTAAATCGTGTTTCTCTATGTCAGTCAGGAAAGACCATATTCAAGGGACTTTTCTATCGGTGCTAAATTATGGGGATATTGTTTACATGCAAGCCTTAGCCAGCACCCTTAAGATGCTGGACACTTTGTATCACACAGCGTTTAGATTTATAACTAATGCAAGACCACTCACCCATCACTGTGATCTATACGACATGGTGAAGTGGCCCTCCCTTCCTACGAGAAGGCTGAAGCCTTGCTTGGACTATTGCCTACTTATCTTTGCTCCTCACTTGCAAGGGCACCACAAACTAATAGTCTCTGTTCTCAGATGCTACTATCTTTCATGTTTCCTAAGGCCAGAACTGAAATGGGAAGAATTTAATTGTGCTATAATGCTCTGTGGTCTTCGAACGAGCTGCAACATTGTTTTAAACTGGAGGAGAGGGTATCGCTTGTTGAGTTTAAAGCTCTGATAGATTAAAATGTTGTTGACCATTGTGACTGTTTTTAATGTATTTTATTGTGCTCTTTGTACACCTGTTCTTTCCATGACAGACTGACCAAGTGAATCCAGGTGAAAGCTATTATCCCTTATTGATGTCACTAATTAAATCCACTTCAATCAATATAGATGAAGGGGAGGAGACAGGTTAAATAAATATTTTTAAGCCTTGAGACAATTGAGACATGGATTGTGTATGTGTGCCATTTAGAGGGTGAATGGGGAAGACTTTTGAACGTGGTATGGTAGTAGGTGCCAGGCGCACTGGTCAAGAACTGCAATGCTGCTGGGTTTTTCACACTCAACAGTTTCCCATGTATTATCAAGAATGGTCCACCACCCAAAGGACATCCAGCCAACTTGACACAGCTGTGTGAAGCATTGAAGTTAACATAGGCCAGCATCCCTGTGGAACGCTTTAATAAGGTTTTTGTGCGTGTGTATATATACTGAACAAAAATATAAACACAACATGTAAAGTGTTGGGCCCATGTTTCATGAGCTAAAATAAAAAATCCCAGACATTTTCCATACAAAGAAAAAACGTGTCTATCTCAAATTTTGTGCACAAATTTGTTTACATCCCTGTTAGTGAGCATTTCTTCTTTGCCAAGATAATATATCCACTTGACAGGTGTGGAATATCAAGAAACTGATTAAACAGTATGATCATTACACAGGTGCACCTTGTGCTGGGGACAATAAAATCAACTTTAAAATGTGCAGTTTTGTCACACAACACAATGCCACAGATGTCTTAAAGGAAGTGCAATTGGCATGCTGACTGCAGGAATGTCCACCAGAGCTGTTGCCAGATAATTTAATGTTAATTTCTCTACCATAAGCTGCCTCCAACGTCATTTCAGAGAATTTGACAGTACGTCCAACCGACCTTACAACGGCAGACCACGTGTAACCACTCCAGCCCAGGACTTCCACTTCCGGCTTCTTTACCTGTGGGATCGTCTGATGGAGGTTGCTGAGGATTATTTCTGTCTTTTGTTGGGGAAAACTCATTATGATTGCCGGGCCTGGCTCCCCAGTGGGTGGGCATGGATGCCAAGTCGGTGGGCCTATGCCCTCCAAGGCCAACCAATGGCTGCACCACTGCCCAGTCATGTGAAATCCATAGATTAGAGTCTAATGAATGTATTTCAATTAACTGATTTCGTTTTATGAACTGTAATTCAGTAAAATCTTTGACATTGTTACATGTTGTGTTTATATTTTTGTTCAGTGTATACGAAGAATGTATTTTCTGAATAATATTCTGCCAGATTTAAGCTGGAAGTTGTTCATTGAATTCCTCTCCCCATTGGGTCTTTAGAGAGTCCAGGGATTCCAGATTGTGGGAGTTTAATCACATATAGACCAACCCTATGCCCCCTTTGACATAAGGATTTACTTTAAAAACAGAGTCTAGAAGGGAGGTAGGTGGGTGTGATGGGATATTACTAGAATTTGAAGATACAAAACTATGCAGTGTTTTAGGTACCTAAAGAAATGGGATCATGGTATATTAAGCTTTTGTACTAACTGTTCGAAAGATGCAAAGTCATAATCAATGTACAAGTCATTCAGTGAGGAGATCGCCTTTCCAGACTAGATATGAAATACCCCATCTAATAATGGAGAAAATGTGTGGTTCCTTACTTTTGGGGCAAAAGTTGAAAATTCACTGAGAGCAAACGATCGCCTAAACTGTATCCAGATTTTTTGAGAATGCTTTACAATAGGGGTTTGTAGTGTATTTGGAAACAGGCTCAGTCAATGTTCGTTTTGAGCAAATTAAGGCAGCTAAGGAGGTGGGCCCACAGGATGCAGTCTCTAGGGTTAACCATTTCGGGCCTGCAACATCACGGATTTCTGTCATCCAATATAGAATGATTCTTATATTATCTGCCCAATAGTAATATTGAAAGTTCAGAAGTGATAGACCACCCTGCGGACGAGATCTCAGCAATACGCTTTTACATATCCAAGGGTTTTTCTTGTTCCAGATAAAAGCAGATATCAATTTATCTATGGAGATAAACTATTATTTTGTCAGAAAAATTGGAATACATTGAAATAAGTATAAAAACATACCTAACACATTCATTTTAATTGTGTTAATTTTTCCGCCCAAAGAAAGAGAAAATAAATCCCAGCGTTGAATATCCTGCTTCAGGTGGAGTATCAAGAGAGGGAAAATATACTGGAAAATGGCAGCTAGTGTAAACAGTGTGAATGTTTTGGAAATGGTTTTAAGACTCTGCGACTTACAGAAAGAACACTTCACAAATGGTACCATCCCCATACTTGGCTGTATGATTGGCATTCAGGACAGATTCACTGCACTGCAATGTTTATATAGAGATGTATTCTTCTGAAGGAGAAAACAGGGTGAGTATTTAGGTAGGTAGTCATTAGGTCCGCGACGATACCAGTATCGCAATACTCATTAATATCGTGGCAAGGAAACAAAACAGACGAAATGTTGGAAACAAACATCATTATATTGTCGTCCATAGTCACATTTATTTATTTTCCAAGCTATATCACACAATATTTGACATACAGCAGGTTTTTAAAGGACCAAAGAGTTAGGTCTGTTTCCCCTTACTGAAAAAAACTGTCTTCTGGCTAACAGTTGTGGCAAACCTTTGGTTCATATTTTCACATGCAAATTAGTTTTGTGGTAACTTGTGAACTTCTGGCAAACAATTCTGGGGAACTTGTGGCAAACAAGCTACTGTTTACCGCACATCTGTGACAAGCTCCTATTATCACATGCAAATTAGTTTTGTGGCAAACTATTGCGGTAAATGTGCTTCAACTTGTGAACTTATGCC